CCAATCAGAATTGAGGGATAACTTTTCAGGAAATATCTGTTTTAGGCTTACGATCAGGATTAGGTGCTTCTACACTCTTGTTAATCAGCTATCATTTAAGAAAGTGAAAGTGACGTGACATGTGGCCAAGTATGGTGACCCATACTCGGAATTAGTGCTCTGCATTTATCCCATCCAAAGTGCACACACACAGCAGTGAACACACAATCCGTGAACACACACCCGGAGCAGTGGGCAGCCATTTTTTTTGCTGCGCCGCCCAGGGAGCAGTTGGGGGTTCGGTGCCTTGCTCAAGGGCACCTCAGTCGTGGTATTGAAGGTGGGAGAGAGCGCTGTACATTCACTCCCCCCACCTACAATCCCTGCCGGTACGAGACTCGAACCCGAAACCTTTGGGTTACGAGTCCGACTCTCTAACCATTAGGCCACGACTTCCCCAGTCAGTTGAAACATCCTTGCTGAATAGAATAATTAATTTTCACTTATGGCCATTTTATATCAAAAACTTGTGGTTTTTTTATTATTAAAATAAAATAGCACTGCTAGCAAAAATGAAAAACATTTCTATTTTAAGGGACTACGAAAAGAAACAGGGTGTGGTCCAATTACAGTTCAATGCCATCAAGAGGATGGTGCCAAAACCACTGCTGACCATCTAATATTATTGAAACAGGAAAGAGGAAAAACAGTCACAGACACAAAGACAAACATACACAAACACACATTCAGCCCCAGAATTCACTGGCGGCTCCATGGCAAGCGAAGCTGGTCTGGTTTGCCATCTGCTGCTGAAGTTATTTACAGCCTTCTGACAAGAACACACACAGCAGGGCCCTCTGTATGAGTGTGTGGCGTACTCCAACTACTAGCCGAATATAAAATACATGCCTTAACATATTTTACATATGTGTGTACTTAGCATTTAATGGTCAGTCACAGATGGTGCTGATATTGTAACCTTCCTTTAATAGTAGTCTTTTATTTAGAATGTCACTCTACTCGTTTTCATGTTTTGCTATCATGAACACACACGAGCAATATGTTTTTTTATGCTCAAATACTCCCATGTTATGTGCTGAGAGTGCATGGTGAAACAGCTTCTGAGTTTCTGGCCTTGAGGGGAATTGAACGAGTAAACGATTCGCCGCAATTTCCATTTTAAAAGCTTTGCTGGAAAGTTGACAACAAAATCTGTGATGGCGCTCCTGAAAAACAATCACCTCCAGCTAGGCCCTTTTACTACAGATGTCTTCTCTGCCAATACAGGAGTGGAGGGCAAAAAAGAAAACAATTTGACAAGCACAAAGAAAGAGAGAGAGAGAGAGAGAGAGAGAGAGACTGACTTTAAAAAGAAAAGAAATAACATTCAGGTGAAGGGAAGATAAAAAAAAGGTCTCTGTCATATTTGACACAGCTCCAGAGGAAATATTGACAAGCCCGGAGTGCAGAGAACAATTTTACTGCAGCCCTCCTTGTCAGTCAGTCTGTCTGCCTGTCCTCTCTCTCTCTCTCTCACACACACACACAAGCGATAAGAAATGCAGAGATAACAGGCTGCATTTTAAATGTCTAAATAAAGATGAGGCGATATCAAAAGGCATGCA